TCTTTTATACTCCTTGCTGGGTCTGCATTGGCTCAAACCAGCCTTCCTTTTGTCCCAGACCCTGCATTGCATGTGTCCCAGTAGAGTCCCAATGAAGTTCAACTGCTGCTGAGGCCTCCCGGCCTGAATTTGGACTTGAAGGTCTGGATCTGGACTGACCCCTAGACTTAGACCAGAACTGGGACTGTGCCTATTGACTTTATTTTCGGACAGGCACAACTCTCAACGAACAGACACATTAACTGCTTGAACAGACACTTTACTTTGCACGAACAGGTACACTGCCTGCACGTACAGACACACTCTTACCCAAACAGACATGACATACACATCTCCTGGTGAACAGGTGAGTCTTTTGACAATGCCCTTTGCCTTAGCTTTAGATATGCCTGTTGACARAGAACTTGACCTTTGACCTGCTTTCACGTTTCTGAACTCTGGCGAGATACCTTTTCACAATGCTTTACTTTTTTAAGGCCCGTGCTGCTTTATTTTTACAAGGTCTGAGGCCTATATCGGGTAAAGGCCCTTTTACTCTCGCCGGCCTAAATTCGAAGTCCTCTGAGAATCATTTATCTATCAAGGATATGAATTCCTCTCTTTGCACTTTCGTATGCAGATACAATATGAGGTGCAGATTCTAACAGTTCTTCTTTTGTGAACCAGCGATCTTCACTAGGATCCTGGTATGCAAATCTCACTTTGTACTGTCGTTGTGGTCTGCCTCTACGTCCTGTGTGATAAGTACTTTCTGCAACAATCTTATCCATGTCATACTTCCCATCCATACTCGGAGGTATCATTGATCGGCGACTTGGGAAGAGCTCATTCRTTACACAAGGTAAGAGCTTGGACGCATGGAACACTGGATATGTACGTAGATGAGGAGGAATTTCAATGACATACGAAGGACCATCCACATTTCCAATTACGTCTAGAACTTGCCAAGGTCCTCTATAGGTGGGTAGAAGCTTCTGAGAAACGTTCTCTTCAAGAGCAAACTCTTTAGACTTTACCCAAACCAAATCTCCTACAGCAAATTGAGACGGGCGTCTATGTTTATTTGCCTGTTCAATCATTTGATGTTGTGCTTTAATTATATTTTCTTTTACTTTCTCAATGTCTTTCTGATATTGGACTGCAAATTCACTAGTCCCTATAGGAAGCTTATGTACTTGATCCGGGTTCAATCGATCAATGGGTCTGCGTGGACGCCATCCCAGATGTAACTCCATAGGAGTCTTACATGTAGATAGATGTACARAGTTATTATAGGCACTGGCAACTTTAGGCAGATGTTCATCCCAGTCAATCTGATCAGGACGGATGTACATGCGTAAAGTTTGTTGCAAAATCTTATTCATCTGCTCAGTCTGGCCATTAGTCTCAGGATGTCTGCCTGATGACATAGTCAACTTAGAGCCATAGACATTCATCAGTTGCTGCCATTGTTCACTTGTAAACCTGGTATCTCTATCACTCACAATAGTTAAGGGATGTCCAAAGTCTTTTACCCAATGGTTAAAGAATTCCCGAATTACCAATTCAGTCTTTGCTTCTGCAGGTAAAGCTCCAAAAACAGCATACTTAGTGAATCTATCCACTATGACCATTACTTGCGTTATCCCATTCCTGCTTTTGACCTTAGTATCCATGAAATCTATAGAGACAGAGTCTCCAGGGCCGGTAGGGATAGGTAAGGGCTTAAGTAGCCCGAGGGGCGATTGCGTGGTGCTTTTGTTTCGTTGACACACTTGGCAACCCTGCACATACGCGATACAGTCTGCTTTCATTCGAGGCCAGGTATAGGAACGCAACAAAGTTCCGTAGGTCTTCTTCCATCCAAAATGACCTTCTGTATCATGGCATTCCCCCAAGATCATACTTTTAATCTCTTCATTATTAGGTATACACAGCCTATCATTTACATTAGTTCGTTCAAACAATAGACCCTGAGTTACTTTGTGATCGGGAAACTCTGCTGGCTTCTCTTGCACTAGTTTAATCATGGTTCCATATATAGAATCAGAGGAATACGCATTCCTAATCTTCTCCTGTAGGTCAGTACCCACAACTAAATAAGTCACAATAGCACCGAAAAAGTCTGATCTRCGACTTAGTGCATCAGCAACAACATTATATTTACCTTTGACTGGCTTTAATTCAAAATCAAACATATCAATTTCCGCAGCCCACCTTGTCAACTTAGGTGTCATTCAAGCCTGCGTTTTTAGCCAGCGAAGTGTTTCATGGTCAGAGTATACTTTAAAATGCCTTCCTAGAAGGTAGTGTCGCCAATGATTGAGAGCCTCACGTAGAGCATACAATTCTCGTTCATATGTTGAAGCGGCCACCTTCTCGTTAGGTAAACGGCAAGACATAAACTCTACAGGTCTGTACCCATGTCCATCATCTTGTTGGAGTACAGCACCTATACCATATTGACTAGCGTCGGTTGTGACCACAAAAGGTAATGAAGGGTCTGCGATTTTCAAAACCGGATAATTGATTAAACACTTCTTCAGACGCTTGAAAGACATAGTGCAGTCTTAATCCCACTTCCAAATTACTTCCTTCTTAAGCAATCGACGAAGGGGAGCAGCTATTATCGTAAAGTGTTTTACGAACTTTCGATAATAGTTGGCTAACCCAAGGAACGACCGCAACTCAGTCAAGGTGCGGGGGTTCGGCCAATCTCTTATTGCTGCTATCTTAGCATCTTCCGGTTTGACCCCATCTCCATCAATCACATGTCCTMRRTATAGCACTTGACGCTTAGCCCATTCACACTTCTTTGGGTTTATTTTGAGTTTTGCTTCCCTTAATCTATTTAGCACAAGTCGAAGGTGCTCAGCGTGCTCTTTTTCATTTTTACTGAAAATCAAAATGTCATYTAAATAAATCACAACRAATTTATCGAGCCATTCACGAAAGAGTTCGTTCATCGTTCTTTGGAAAGTGGCAGGGGCATTTGTGAGACCAAAGGGCAAAACTACGAACTCATAATGCCCCTACCTTGTCCTAAAGGCAGTCTTATGTTGRTCTTCCGGCTCAACTTCAATCTGATGGTAGCCGGATTTTAGATCAATCTTTGAGAATACTTTGCTTCCCTGCACGCGATCCAGCAAATCATCTATTCGTGGTAAAGGTTCAACATTTTTTATTGTTATATCATTTAACCTCCTATAATCTATACACATGCGAACGCCGCCRTCCTTTTTAGGCACAAAGAGCACAGGCGCACCATAGGGTGAGGAGCTAGGTCTTATCCAACCATTTTTCAACAATTCATCGAGTTGGGTTCGCAGTTCATCCAATTYCTGGGGTGACATACGATAGATAGGCCCCTTCGGGGGCGCGCTCCCTGGAATGATATCAATGCGATGGCGGATTGGTCTTTCCACCACACCGCTTGGGGCTTCAGCCACATCTGCGAGCTCTTTCAGGATCCTCTCAATCTCTTGGGATGTGACTTTTTCCTTTGTTTCTTCCTTTACTGGGCGCACATATGCAACAAAGACTTGGTCATACAAGTTATGTTTCTTAACATGGCGAGCGAACGTTGGGGCACTCATACAACAGTGAGCTAGGCTGCTTTCCTTTCCAGATTCATGATAAAGGCGGATCTTCTTCTTACCTCCTTGTGGACTTGGAAGCCAACATTCATGCTCTCGCAACTTTAGATCTGCATACGCAGCCTCACCCCAATCCATTCCTAATAACACATCAAAGGGCAAGTTATCCTCCACCAAGAAGGTCAGAGGGCGGAGAACACGTTCCACCTTCCCCTCTGCCTCTAGCCGGAAGTATACTTGTACCCTTTCAACATATTTATCCATAACAGTCTCACTGCTATTAGCTAACTTACTTATAATGGGCTCTTTTAACTTCTTAACTTTAAGCCCAAGACGCAGTTTTTGCAAACCTCTTTTACTAATATAACTGCGGGTAGAACCACTGTCTATCATACCTCCTATTCTAACTCGATTTATCTCAAGATCTGCAATTATTAGCTGTCCTTTCTTCCGTTTCATTTCAGTCCAGGCTTGGCGACGAGCGGCCAACTCATCACCCACGCCAGCGAGGGATCCATCTAGAGAGATGCATACGTTTGCCACCTCTGGACAGTGTACTAGATGGGGACTTCGTTCCTTTTCAGTTTCTGCCATTGG